GTTTCCTGCTCGGGCCGATCAACTGCATGATTAAAATCCAAGACGAGAAAGCATTTATTAGTACACTGTAAATGCTAAATTTCACTTTGCTATTTTAATTATAGAATCCACTATATGACACCAGTAAAATGGGTCATAGGTGAGATTTTCTTCTCTTCACAAGGTAATGATAACTTGTTTATTCTTTCATTTCTCATACATACAAACTAAGACCGCAGAATGGGGAACATAAAAAGGACTGTAGATCTGAGTGAATTCTGATTCTATAAAGGGCTGTAAAACATCAATGAGTGGAAGCAATTAAAAATGATACAAGAAATGATACAACATTAGTATGGAAACAACCTAGGTGACTTAGAATATCTTTACATTTTTAGTTAAAAGTATGGTTGAGAATTCCTTTTCCTTTCTAACTCCTTTCATGTAACCTCCCACCGCTTCTCCAATTCAGTCTTTTCTATAGTTATGTTTTAAACACACGCACACACACACACACACACACACACACGCTCACACACACACATCTATCGAGTCCATTTACTATTAGTCTTATATCCATCTGTTCAGCGTTGACCACTTATTATCATATGACTCAGCCCCAGCGAAAACTCATTCTCTGATTTTCTCTCCCTCAGCAGCAATAGACTCCCCAGAGCTCTTTGTCTGGGGATGGGTCCTTGTGAAAATTTCCCCCATCCACGTTGGCATATTAACTGCTATAGTCTTAGGCAGGCAACCACACTGTAGACCTCATGGACCAAGAGTCGCTGTCATATTTAGAAGGTACTGTCTCGCAGCAGACATCCTGGTCCACTGGCCCTCACCAGTATTCTACTTCTTCCGTGATATCCTCTGCTTAACTGTAGGGCTGTATTGGAGATGTGTTAGCTGGGGTTGGGCACCACAGAACCACCTACTCTCTAAATTTTGGCCAATTGTGGATCTCTGCAATAGTCTCCATCTGCTGCAAACAGTGGCTTCTTTGATGAGTAGCAAGAGCTGCAATGTCTATGACTATAAGCAATAATATTTAGAATGCAGTTACAAGCTGTATTGGCTGAAAAGATCTGCAGCAGCAGCTTCTTCTCCAGGGTCTGTGTCATCTCCAGCCATGGCTAGTTAGCCAGGTCTCTAGCACCAGGCGTGACTCCTGTTTGAACCTTAAGTCCAATGAGACAGTCATTGTCTACCCAGGACATGAATGGCACTGCTGGACCCGTGGGTCTATCTAGCCATGCTGGTGGTTGCTACGGTTTACAGGCTGTACATCTGAGTAGGACTTTTTTCTCTCTTGACAGCTTGCACGGCACCTTCTCCTATTATGTGAACCAGTCCTCAGAGAAGATTCCAGGTCAGTTCCAGCTTAATTACTTCAAGAATTGTATTCAAAGGATGTGGTGTCTTCAGCTATAAAGTCCTGAGCCCCCCAAGGGCAATGGCAATAGCCTATATGGTTTGGGAGTCTCTTGAAATTCCCGGCCAACAATCTGAAGAGAGGCTTTCGAGAGGATTTCCATGCCTGGGCCTGGGGTTTTGTTAGACAGTCTATGGCACTGGGGGCAAGGATTATACCGTTATTTATTATTTATTGAATTTATTTAATTTTTAAATTATATTTATTTTTGTGTATATATGTGTCTGACAATGTGTGTGTGTCTCTCTGTGTGTGTCTGTGTGTGTGCACGTGCATGCAAAGGCATCATGGTACAGGTGTGGAGGTCAGAGAAGTTTTTCCGGGGTCATTTGTCCCTTTCCACTTTTACCTGGGTTCCTGGGATCAAACTCAAGTCAGCAATAGTGAGGGCCTTGCGCAGCAAGGACAGAGCCATCTCTCCAGTCTCTACAACACTGAATTTAAGAAGTAGTGAACACCTGAATTATTATAAACATTTAGACTGCAAGACGTCTTAATGAGGAAAAATCATCTTATGATGAGTTTGTATACTTTAACATAATGCATATTTTATAATAAAGAAAAAGTTAATGCCCCTAACATTTGCATATAATCACCTTAGAATTATAGTGATTATGTTGTATGTCTCACATGAAACAGTGAAAATACCATTTTCAGAAATTATTACTTTGAAATAGGAGTTTTAAGGAAAGCAATTTAATATCATTAGGCAGGTTTCTAATTTTTTTGGTTGAATGCTAAAACACAATGCGTGAGCTATTTAAAGAAGGCTACTGTGCCATAGCCATCGCCCTCCTCCTTTTCTGCTCCCCTTCCTCACTGTACTCAACTAAGAAAAGAAAGCCCACGAGCTTCTATTTTTATACAAGCCAATGCGCGTCCCAGTGTCCAGCACACACCGTACAAAGAGGGGCGATAACGATCACGATGACCGTGAGAATAACGACAGCCCATCTTACTGTTAATTTGTGTCTGCTGGAATGGTCTCAGGCAGCAACAATCTAGTGAGTTAGATCCAACCATCTCTCCTAAGGTGAAAAATCAGCACTTACAGCATACTCCAGCCACAAGCCCACAGCCACACGCCCTGCAGCCTTGCGCACGCAGCCACACCACAGGGGGTAACAGAGCCGGGTCCCACCTTTGCGCAGCTGACCTTTAGTTTAGGCTTTGCTCTTCTAAGTAACCATTTAAACATGCGATGCGAAGCTTAAAGGAACACGGGAGTTTTTGACTGTGCCTGAGGTGGAACTTAGGAACACTCACGTGCTAGGCATGCGCTCGCCCTTGCATTACGCCACCTGCCCTAAATAGTGAACATTTTCTCACGTACGCCCCATGTTTTGAGAAGTGGAAATACTTTCATTTCACCAAAAAATTAGAAGATATGACAAAACTTTTCTAATTTTCCCAAGAAAATTATTTTTTAAAATCCTGTAGATACTTTTGTGTATGGTGGGGTGTGTGCATTTGTGAATCCAGGAACCCACAGAGTCCAAAAGAGGGGGTCAGGTGCCCTGGAGCTGGAATTATAGATAGTTGCGGGCCCCTTGATGTGACTGCTAGGAGCCAAACTCCGGTCCTTTCCAAGAGTAATGTATGCTCCTAACTATGGAGTCCACCCACAAAAATTCTTATTTATGCTGCTGCTATGTTTGTGTGTGTGTGTGCACGCACACACATTCATGCATACACACGTATGGAGATCAGAGGACAACTTTGGGAGTTTTTTCCTACGTTTACATGGACGTATGCTAAAGATGGGGCTTAGGCTGCCAGGCTTGCATGGCAAGCACTTCATCCAATGAGCAATCTCACACGGCCTGACATGCAAATTCTGCTGCCTGACATGCAAATTCTGCTGCTCTACGTCACAGCCTGGGCTAACAGTGGGAGCTCTGCCCCTTTCTCACTATGAGTTTTGACAGGACTCCCTTCTCTGCTTCACAGGAGCATAGGATTTAGCTTCCTACAAGACTTTGCTATTAAGATGGAATTCAATAGCCCACATCAGACAGTTGGGAAGGGGTCCACATTCCAAGTGCTCAGATCTGATGAGTTAGCATCATTGTCTGGGGTTCCTCTCCCTCTCTTTCCTTCTCGCCCTTCTTGCTTTCTTGAATGTCACGAACTTGCAGTTTGCCAAGTTCAGTAAGCGTGTGTCTACTTAGTTCTCCCATCAGTCAGTGGGGTGGGACACAGCTCCACGATATAGAAGACACTGCCTGTGTGGGGCTGCACTGTAACAAAAACAAAGCAAGGTAGTGTCCAGTGGTCATTTGGGTTGACCACGACTCACTGAAATACTCTCTCTTGACCTCCCAGACTCCATTTGTTTATGATTGGCAGGTACCTCATGGGTCATTTGCCACCTCCATTTCCTTTACTCAGGGCCTATAGCTGGCATCTGTCAGGTATGGGGACAAGATGGACAAGATTCTATTTTGCTTATTCAACCTACTTTCCAAATATTATCTAATTTAATTGTACAAATACCAACTGTACTCCCCCCCCATTTTTTTAACCTTTCTTTTTTTCCTGTTTTTCAAGACAGGTTTTCTCTGTGTAATGGCACTGGCTGTCTTGAAAATTGTTTTGTAGACCAGGCTGGCCTTGAACTCACAGAGATCTGTCTGCCTCTGTTTTCTGAGGGATTAAAAGGCATGCACCACCATATCTGACCCAGCTCTACTCTTATGGCTCCAATTTGCATTTCCTTGAAAGCCCATTTATTATCATATTCTGTTTTCCTCCCAAGTTTTGAAAGAATGTTCATGTTCAGAAAAGACCAAATGTAAAACTGTGAGCAGATCACATTTGTTTCAGCTGGGCATGGGGATTATCACAAGTTTTTGTTGTTTTTTTTTATTTCTTGAGTTAGGGTTTTACTGTGTAGCCCTGGCAGACCTGGAACTCACTCTGTAGACCAGGCGGGCCTTGTACTCACAGAGATCTGCCTGCATCTGCCCCCCAAATGCTGGGATTAAAGGCGTGTGTCAACATGGCCCAGAGGGATCATCACAGATTTAATTTGTATTCTATCTCTAGTTCTGTTCTGTCATTAATATTGCAAAAATTGTATGTCACAGTCTTACACAATTGTGTGTGAGGTGCTGAAGATTGAGACCAGATCTTTATTTTTTATTTTTATTTAAGGCCAGGTCTTTACATATGCTAAAGAAGCAAGCACTTGCGAATCCCACTGCCAGATTTACAGTCTAAGATTTTAAAATAAACCAAACCAAAAGGATCAGCAAATATATGTGTACACTCATATGGAAAATAAAACCCTCATGAGACTTTGGTGTTGTGAAAATAACAAGGACAATTAAAAACAGTCATGCACTTAAGTTGTTCATTGGGTCAGACTTCTTCCCAAAGAAAATGCTGAAGTTCTTAGGAAGATTTTAAGAGGGGCTCTGAACTGGACTTTGACTGCATAGCACAGAAGCGTTAAGCACGTATGAGGTGCATCACTGAAGATCTAGAAAATTGTAAGATGATGCTCTCTGGATGGGAATGATTAAGCTTGGGGCTGTAATTAATTTTTCATTGCTTTCTTTTTTATCCTTTTGTGCGGGTTCTATTTCTGGCATCTCCTCTGCTGACTGCTGGGGATGGCTTACGTTTCCTGAGGCCGTCTGTCTACTCTTCTGTCACACTGTGGTGCACTCTCTGTAAGCTCGAGCTCCTTACTCCACTTTCCACAGATACCAGGATACCATTGCACCCTCTGTTCTTAATTCTCTGTCTTGATCATTTTCAGTGGCTCAGATCCCGTGTCTTATAGTCTCTGCCACGCTGGAGAACAGAAAGTGCAGTAATGATTTAGCATGCATCTTACTGTCTATCCTTCCTATGACCCATGTTAAAACTGTAATAAAATCTCCCATACTTCCCCATAGCTCTTTGCCTAGAGTCAGTTCCTCCATTCACATTACAGTGTGACTAAACACAGTTCTTAACACAATTTTTAAAATGTTAATTCATTAAAAAAACTTCATTTACTATTCTTTGCTTTACTGTTGCCATGGTTTGCCCTGTTTTTCCTCTCTGGATTCTATTTTGACAGAGTGCAGCAATTGCCCGGAGAAGGGATGAGGGGCATATGTAACTAATGTATGTCTATTACTCTAGTCTTAGGTGCTTTTAAAGAGAAATTTACCCATCTATTTTGAGCCAGCAATATCCAGTTTGAGGTCTGATAGAAGGAAAGCTGTTGTATTTGTCTTTAGAAACAGGGAACTGTCACCTTAGACCGCAGACATCTAAATCAGAGGGGCTTTAACCTAAGCACTCATGGAAATCCTGCCAGCAAGCTTTCTCTGTTCTTTTTTATGTAGAGAAACAATAGAGGGCTGGTTAATAAGCTTTCTCGTTGGGATTGCCAGCCCACAAATAATGACACAGAGATTTATTATTAATTATAAAAGTTTGGTCTTAGCTTAGGCTTTTTTCTTACTAGCTTATAACTTAATTAACCTAACTTTACTTAATTAATCATAATTTAATTGATCTGGTACTATTGATCCAAGTTCTATCACACGGCTTGGTCAGCTTTCCTCTGTCCTGACTTGTTTTGCATCCCATTGGCATCTCTTGCATCTAGAGCCATCTCTCTGACTTCCTCTCTCTCTGCTGGAAATCCTGTCTATCCTCTCCTGCCTAGTTATTGGCCATTCATCTCTTTACTACACCAATCACAGCAATGCATCTTCACACAGTGTACAGATATCCACAACATTTCCCCCTTTTTGTCTAAATAAGAAGGAAAGGTTTTAACTCTAACATAGTAAAACTATTGACAGTAAGAACAATTATCATTTAATAACTACATCACAATGTCCAGTTCAGTGGATCCAGATTGTTGTGGAGTAACCCTTCTATATACTGTGAATATTTATGTGTGTGTGTATGTATGTATACATCTATCTATCTATCTATCTATCTATCTATCTACCTATCTACCTATCTATCTGCCATTGGTTAATAAAAAGCTGACTGGCCCGTAGCCAGACTGAATAGCAGGACAGCTAAACTGAGGATGCTGGGAGGAAGAAGGGCAGAGTCAGGGAAGTTTCCAGGAGACACAGAGGGAGCAAGACATGCTGGAAGGCAGGTAAAGCCACAAGGCACATCGATATACATAGATCAATAGAAATGGGTTAATTTAAGTTGTAAGAACTAGTTAGTAGTAAGCCTGAGCTATTAGCCAAGAATTGTGTTGGTTATTTGGGAACTGTGGGTAGGACAGAAACTTCTGCCTACACAAATGTCCTGTATATTGCCAATCCTTAAGTGGCTAATTACTTTTTATTACTTTATTGTTTTTTTAAAGACTTTATTATTTTAAAAGTACTTTTCTATGACTGTTTATACCCTTTTTTATTGTACCTATTTAAAGGCTTTCTTAGTCTGGACTACTTTAATGCAGGCCTACAACCTTCTCTGACAATATGAGCCAACCCTTAAACCTGATGTGTGGCTCTGCACATGCTATGGCTGGCTAAAGCCTGTGGGCAGGAGTTGGGAATCATGTCTCTGTATATCAAGGCCTGCCTGAGAGACTACAGGACAAGAAAGCCATGTTTGGTTCCATGTTTGTGTGTCTGGAACCTTTTAAAAAAGCTTTCTCAGGTCCTATATGGAAATATGTGCCTGCACATTGGACATCATATATTATGGAGTCTTTTTCTGTCTCACTAGACAGCTCCCAAATAATGACACCGAGACTAATTAATTATGTAAGCTCAATCTGTATCTTAGGCTGGTTCCTAAGTAGCTCTTATAACTTAACTGATTTATATTAATCTACATTCTATCACATGGCATCACCTCTCTTTCATCTTGTACCTCCTGTTTCCTCTCCCTGTCTCTTGGAATCTCCTGTGTGCCCCAATTCTTCCTCCTCTTCCTTTCTCTCCTTGGAAATCCCACCTATACCTTCTACCTAGCTATTGGCTGTTCAGCTTTTTGTTATACCAATCATAGCAATATATCCTCACATAGAGTACAAATATTTCACAACATGCTGGGTCAGCTAACTGATTTAAAAATCAGAAAGTAAGATACTTCACAAAATATGAAAATCAATACAAACAAACAAAAAAATCAATAAGAAAATCAAAAAGAAAAATGAAACAAAAAGTTCAGAGGAGCAAAACATGGGCTGGAGTTCTTCTGTTGGCCAATTTCTCCTTGCCCTAGAGTGTAGCTGATACACTCAGCAACACTCCGTTGGAGAACACTGGTTTTTGGTTTGAGAGGGGGAAGAAGAGGGTGGGAGAGAGATTACACGAAGTTGAGCTATAAGGAGGTGGGCAGGAGCTAGGAAAAGTTGGGGGATGGAAAAGCAGGATCAAAATATATTGTATGAAACAAAGATCTCCCACAACAACATAAAGCCCCATGGGCTGTGGGGCTGCAGGATGCAATTTCCACATGAAAAGATAGAATAAAATGCATAATTAAAAAAACCTTCACAACTAGTAAAGAACATTACATAAGCAATTCTCTGTAGTTTCTGGAGAAAGCAAAGTGTATCTATCTGTTGTATATGTCAGGGAAAATAGGTCAGATAATAGCTGTGAACTGAAGAATGGTAACTGAAGGAAACATTCATGGAGATTGGATAGGGCTGAGGAACTGTAGAGGAAAACATTGTTCAGATGGATGAAACAAATGATATAATCTTATCAACCGATCTTTAGTACAAGAAACTTTGTTACAATAAACTTCGTGCATGAATTTTGGAGTTAGACAGATAAGAGATCCAATCCCAGATCTGTTACTGTCTATGGGGTGGCCCTTCCGCAGTTAAAGAACAGTTATGTGCATGTCAGTTTCCTTATTAGCTTAGCGCATTAGCATCCAACTAGGACCTGGGTTTATTCTCCAGCATTGTAGGGAAAGAAAAGCAAATTGACGGGATGGCAGGACAGAAGGAAGGGGTGTAAGGGGTGTGTGTGTGTGTGTGTGTGTGTGTGTGTGTGTGTGCGTGCGTGCGTGCGTGCGTGTGTGTGTGTGTAACATGAGAAGGCCTGCTTGTTTGTGTTTCTGTCCTGCCCGGCCCCCCCAGCTGTTTAGTCCCAGAGAAAAATCACACTGAGATCTCTATAAGTTATAAAGCTGATTGGCCCATTAAGTCAGGCTATTTATTAGCTAACTCTTACATCTTGATTAACCCATTTTTCTGATCTATTTTAGCCATGTGGCTCTGTACCTTTTCCAGTGGGGCAGCTCACATCCTGCTGCTTTGGTGATCTGGGCAGGAGTGGGAGAAATCAACTTCTTCCTCCCCAGAATTCTCCTGCTCTCTTTGCATCATTTCCACTTCCTGTCTGGTTTTCCCGCCTATACCTCTTGCCTGGCCAATCAGCGTTTATTTAAAACATGATTGACAGAATACACACAATTCTCCCGCATGTGTGTATGTGTGTGTGAAAGAGAGAGAGAGACAGAGAGACAGAGACAGAGAGAAAGAGAGAGAGAGACAGAGAGAGAGAGAGAGAGAGAGAGAGAGAGAGAGATGGGGTGGGGATGTAACATCTCAAAAGTTTCTTCTTGAGATAGCTAGTATAAACATTAATTTAATTTCTATTCCTTATTTTATTTTCTTAATACAGAGATTATAATGTAAGTTGAAGAAACTATTATCATTAAAATCAAGTTTTGCTGTAGTAAACCCATCCCTCAAGAGGCCTCAAATTCATGATTTCTTCTTCAATTATTGTTACACACACACACACACACACACACACACACACACACACATACAGTCTATTGAGGAGTTGCCTACATTTATGTGTATTTGTTTGGGGCTGAACACTTGGAATTGGATTCCTGATCAGGGAGCTCATCCTTGGAGAGGACTCATCTTCTCTCTCCCAGAAGCCATGGCTATAATCCTTCATTTAGGGGTAGGTCCATTGAGATTTCCCCAACCCACAATGGCATGTCAATCAGTGCTATCGTTGTGCGGGCCTTGCTAGGTGACCAGCTTCCCTGTCACCTACAGAAGACACTATCTTGCAGCAGATGCTCTGGTCCCTCCGCTGCTGTCAATCTTCTTCCCCTCTCCTCCACACCGTGTCCTAAGCTCTCCATGTAGAGGTTGTGTTGCAGGTGTGTCGCCTGGGGTTGGGTAATCACAGTCATGTATTCTCCACATTTGACCAGTAGGGATTCCTTGTGTAGTTGCCATCTACTGCATAAAGAGGCTTCTTTGATGAGAAGGAAGAGCTACATTGATCTATGGGTGTAAGTAGTAATATTTAGAAGGCAGTTAGAAATTGTATCCATTTGGAAAATCTGCAGAAGTAGGTTCTTCTCTAGGGTCATGACCTCTCCCATCAGTTAGCTAGCTAGGGTTCTAGCACCAGGCATGACTTCCATTCTAGTGAGTAGACCTTAAGTCCAAATAGAGAGTTGTTGGTACCCCAATATGGATGAGCCACTATGGCTTCCTTGGGGCTCTCTTGTCAGAGTGGTCTTTACTGTGGCTGGTAGGCTTTTTACCTGGGCAGGGTCCTTTTTCTCCCTTGGCAGCTTCTACACCTTTCCATATTATGAGGGCCAGTCCTCAGGTAGGAGGCTTTCAGATCATTTCCAGCTCAGTTCTTTGAAGTCCTATATGTGAAATGTGTGGTATCTTCAGGTATAAAACCTTAACTTTAAGTTCTGTGAGGCAAAAAAGGGCAACGACTATAATCTTTATTATTTTGGATATCGCTCCAATTTCCTTGATTAAATGAAAATAAGTGTTTTTTTTATTACGTGTGTGTGTGTGCTTGTGTGTGTGTATGTAGGACAACTTGTAAAAATGTTCTCTCTTCCTACCACTTTGGTCCTGGAGATTGAATTCTGGTCATCAGATTTGGTGGTAAGTTTTCTTATCCACTGAACCATCTCAACAGCCCCATAAATGATAGGGAAGCTCTGTTAACCAATCACACCCAGTTAGGGCGTGGCTACCTGGAGTCCAGGAAAAAAAAAGGAAAGGGACCAAGTGTGCTCTCTCTCGCTGGGCAATCCCCGCTGGACAGAGGAAGTCAGGCTTCCCATTCTTGTGGCATGAGTTTTCCCATTATAACAATTAAAAATATAACTGTTACCCTTAAGCTGGCCTGGTTATTTCCCATATCGAGCTAATTCGCAACACATAAACATGTTTTGGGGGGATGAGGGAGGGAATCTAACATCTTTTACTTAAATGGATTTGACTTATTAAAGTGTCAGGTTAGTCTGTGTAAAAATCAAGTAAGATTAGTGTGCTGGCAAGTTTTATTTCAACTTGACACAAACTAGGGTCATTGAAGAGAAGGGAGCATCAGTTGACAAAATACTTTCATAGGATAGATTGTAGGCAAGTCTGTAGGGCATTTTCTTAATTAGTGATTAATTTGGGATGTACCAGCCCATTGTGGGTGGGACTACTCATGGGTTGGTGGTACGGGATTCTACAGAAAAACAGGTAGAACCCAGGCAGTGGTGGTGCATGCCTTTAATCCCAGCACTCAGGAAGCAGAGGCAGGTGGATCTCTGTCAGTTCGAGGCTAACTTGGTCTACAAAGCGAGTTCCAGGACATATAAGGCAACACAAAGAAACCCTGTCTTGGGGGAAAAAGTAGGGGGGAGGAGAAAGAAAAAAAATAAAGAAAACAGGCTGAGCAAGCCATGAGGAAAAAGTCAGCAAGCAGCACTGTTGCATGGCCTCTGCATCAGCTCCTGCCTCCACGTTCCTGCCTTCTTTCAGTTCCTGTCCTGACTTCTTTGAAGATGAACTGTTGTTGTAAGGGGCCACCTAGAACCAAAATAACCACAGACACTGTATGAATTAAATCACTGCTTGGCCCATTAGCCCTAACTTCTTATTGGCTAGCTTTTACATCTTAATTTAACCCATTTCTAGTAATCAGTGTATCACCACGAGGCTGTGGCTTACTGGGTAAAGTTCCAGAGTCTGTGTCCAATGGAGCTAATATGGCTTCTCCCTGACCCCGCCTTCCTTTCTCCCAGTATTCAGTTTAGTTCTCCCCCGACCTAGTTAAGTTCTTATAGGTCCAGAGTAGTTTCTTTATTAATCAACGGTAATTACAGCATCCAGAGGGAAATCCCACATCAGACTGTGATGTAGAAGTGTAAACCAAATGAACCCTTTCCTCCTCCCCAAGTTGCTTTGGTCATGATGTTTCATTACAGCAATAGTAACTGTAGTGGTTTGAATAAGAATGGCCCCCAGGCTTGTATATTTGAATGCTTAGGTACCAGAGAGTAGCATTCTTTGAAAGGATTCAAAGAATTTGGAAGGTGATCTTACTGAAAGAAGTATGTCACTGGTGGTAGGCTTTGAGATTTCAGAAGTCCATGCCAAGCCTAGAGTCCCTCTCTCTGCCTTTAGATATGGATGTGGTTCTCCACTGCTTCTCCAGCACAGCCTGCCATGCCATGCCAAGCTCCCTGTTGCCATGCTCCCTTCCGTGATGATAATGGAGTACACCTCTGAAACTGTAAGCAAGGCCCTAATTAAGCTGTTTCTTTTGCCTTGGTCATGGTGTCCCTTCTCAGCAAGAGTATAGTGACTACAAGAGGAGCCCTGACTAAGACAATGCGTAACTGTAGATTTCTTCTGTGGGGTACTTTAAGGTGGAAGCAGCTGCAGGTATTCCTGTTCACATGGAAACCAGGCATGGTACACAGGCCTACAATCTCAGCACTCGGGAGGCGAGGCAAGAAGATGCCTGTCGTGGTTAGAATGAGACTGGCCACTACAGGCTCATGTCTGAATACTCGGGACCCGGTTGTGGAACTATTTGGGAAGGATTAGCAGCTGTTGCCTTCTCAGAAGAAGTGTTTCACTGGGAATGAGTGGGTTTTGAGGTTTCAAAAGCTCATGTCCTGCTCGGGGGTCGAGATGTAAGCTCCAAGCATCATGCCTGCCTGCCTGCCTGCTGCCATGTTCCCCATGATGGTCATGGACTCCAAGAGTCTGAACATAAACCCCAGTTAAACTACTTCTTTTATAAGTTGCCTTGGTTACAATATTTTAACACTTCATTAGAAAAGTGACTAAGACAACCAACAAGTTCAAGACCAGCCTGAGTTACATAGGGAGATGTTATTATAAACCAAAATAAAACAGCAAGCCTTTCTGCCACAAAGAAACATCTGGAAGAATGACAGCACTTCTTGAAGAATAAAAAATCTGCTCAAATTTATGTGCTATTTTCTTGCTCTGTCTAGATGGTCAGAATTCTGCCTTAGCCAAACCCAGATTGTCATTTAGGACATTTTTGGTGGCACTGCCATTTTGGGGTCCTGCTTGGGACCTAACTGCAGTACCAGGAGATGTGACATCTTATTCTGGTCCCCGTGTCTACCAGGCTTGCACTCAATGCACTAACATACAAGCAGGCTAAAACATAAAATAAAAATAAATGCATCTTTAAAAGAATACTGCTGCCCATCCAGACAGAACTGATTCCTGGTTCCTCTAAGGACACACACTGCTGTCTGCATCCAGGGCCTTCACATTTTCTTGTCTGGCTGTCCCCAGCTTCTCCCAGCAGCTGTCCCTTCCCGGTTTCCTTTGAATCGTCTCAGGTTCCAACCCCAGTCTCTGGTAAATTTTTTAAATGTTAGCTACCAGCTTGGCAAGTCACTGAATAAATTCAATTTCCCAATTAGTTAATAACAGAGTAAATAGCTCAACAGATGGTTTCTCTGAGATGGAGGGGAGAGAAATGAGCAGGAGAGAGAGAGAGAGAGAGAGAGAGAGAGAGAGAGAGAGAGAGAGAGAAGATGAATAAAGAATTCAAGGCAGGCAGCTCTAAGAGTAGTGCACACTGACAGAAACTTTTGACATTTTGGGTGGCACTAAGACTCTTAAACAGCCCTTAAGGAAAACCTATTCTGTGTACTCTCTCGATTTCTGCAAGGAGTAGACAGTAGCTTTTCAAAATGTCTTAGAAGCGACATTTCACCAGAAAGTAGCTTCGATGACTCCCGTGTCTTCTTAACTTCAGCATGCCTTTTACTGAAGGTCGTGGTTGATTTGATTTTGTGATTGATTTTAGTTAATGAACACATTGCAAAATTAGCTCATATTAGTTAAAGCCCCAAATTTATCCAAGTGACCCCAGAGCCACCGCGGTGGACGTTGTCGCTCTGGTCATTCACGTGGAGCCCCAATTTGTTCATGTTTGAAACCCTGTGTGATAGGAAGTGGACGTGGGGTGAGACATGACAAAGAATCCTTGGGAGGTGAGGGGCAAAAGAGTAGAATCGCTGCTTCCAGAGAGGACTGGGATTTCAGGTGGAGGTTGGGAGCGAACCCTCCTCCTTCGCCGAACAAACATTCGTTGTTTGTTTTCTTGCCTACCCTACGCCGGAGCCTATTCGTGTCTCCTCCGGATGGGTGCCGGTCCTCGATAAGTCTCCATTCTGATAATCTCAGGAACTCGAGCTGCTCTCACTTCCGACCTCCTTCCCCCGAAGCCGGCTGGAGGCGGGAGCGAGGCCCGGGAGGCCCGGGAGGCGCCGAGGCCGTCGACGCGGCTCGAGCGGAGCCCACATCAGCCGCGTTCTCCCGGGA